TGAAGGATTAAATTCAAAAATTAGCCAATATATATTGAAGATTTGAACTAATTTGGGACAGATGGCAGTGTATATTTTCTCCTTTATTAATTACAACATGAATTCATACTGATGCCTGCCTCAATTCAATGAATAAATTTCTCAAAAAAGAAATATATTAATACATACATATAAATAATTGATATCAATCTAATATGGAAACTAATAGAAGCTGCAAGTACTGAAAGATACATGGAGGATGAGTGAGCCTAACGGAAAGTTGGAAACTTCTAATTTCTTTTCAATGCAAAAATTCAGTGAAAATTAAATTTGCTTTTTTGCCAGAACGAGAGCAAAGTGGACTTTCTCGCCGTTGGATTTGTTGGAAGTTTTATAGACCGTTGGATTGCCTAATTTCCCTTTTTAATGGAAGGGGTTCGACCTTAGCATGCAAATACGTGTGCATGTTTCCCTCAAATTCTTCTCTCTCTCTCTCTCTCTCTCTCTCTCTCTCTCATTTTTTTTAATTAAACTAATCTTTTGAGATTAAAAACTAACATTATTACAAAATTATCTTACACTTAATTATGGGCATTTTTAATTTCAATTGAGCTAACATTAGCTTCTTTTGAAGTAACTAATATTTCACTATTTATCAATCCAAGAAAAAAGCCATCTTTACCCTCAATGGCGTGGCGGAGTCATTTTTTTTTAGTGGAGACACAAATTGGCTTTTTATTAGCCATGTTAAATATTAATTATCATAATAAAATTTTGGTAATAATATTATCACATAATTTATTTTCATATAAAAGTCAGAGCCATAATGAGATGAATAAAAAGATAAAAATGATTATATATGCTTCTATTTTAGTAAATGATAGATAATAACAATATAAAAAAAAGGCTTAGAATTTTTTTTGGTCAGAATACTCTAATCAAGTGGCGGTAATCAAAGAAACATAGTTGAACAGTGGTAGTTCGGAGGACCATAATCGGGTAATGATGGTTGAAAAATCATAGTTGTGTAACGGTATCATGAGGACTATAGTCTGTCGCCCCTACTCTCTTGGAGGATCGTAGTCAAGTGACAACATCAGGAGTATAGTCTGACGATCGAGGGGAGGGGGAAACCCTCTATCCCTAATAAATTATCACCTAAAGATTATCATAATATATTGATGAGTGTGCATATAATAGCCATAATAATACTCAAAGAAACATTGTACGCATTGACATATTTAATGTATGAGATTAATTAATTGTATGATTCAAGGAATCAAGTATGGTTTTATATTTGTTATATAAGCATAGAATCTCTGATAGTTATATGAATTTGTTAGGCAATTATGCGTTGGGGTTAATTATCCAGCTATCAATATACCTATAGCCATAGTAAAAGGCTTGAAAAAGGCTTTGTCCTATTATACGTGAATCTAATTCAGCATTTGATGAAATGCCTTCCTTTGAACTATATATAGCTTCATATTCTACATTTACAAGAATTTATATAGACTTGATATGTGCGAGCTATTTCAAAATTTAAAATTAAATTGATCATTATATACATTCTTAGGATACTAAGAAAATAAATTATAATTTACACGACTTATTAAAATTTATTTGTAATTATGCACTGCATATCATTCTAAACTTGAAAAGAAAGAGGCTATTATTTGGAAGTGTTTGAAGTGCAAGTATTTGATTTGGAGCTAATAAAGTAAATACAAATTATTAATTTTAGGAATCTAAAACATGCACAATTGTATATTTTTTTTATCTATTATAGAATTATCTAAGTTGGATGAATTTGAAATGAATGGAGAAGTACGAACTTGCCTCATCACCTCGCCACGAGACATGTACCTTGTGTTCCACACATCACATTGATGCCACCCCACCCCTAGTACATATTATGCCAGCATCTTTGCAAATCACTCCCCGCACAGTGTGAGCTATGCCTTTGCACCTCATCACGATGTCGCCTAGTCCGCACAACATGCCTACGCCATGGCATATTGCTCTTATTCGCACATCACATGCTAGCTGGTTTTACCTCCACACATTGTATCTCAACCTTTGCATCTACACAATGATCTTTGTCACAAACCTCAACCTCAACCGTACCTTAGCACCTTGTGTACGTGATCTCTATGTTGGCAGCATTGAGACCCAGGACTTTGATTTTGTTGCACTCATAGCCAGGTAAGTACTCGAGCCAACACCTAACCCTAATTGCAAGAATTAATAAAATATAATAATTCTTTTTAAAGCAATAATCCAAGCATCAAAATATAATCTCCTAAATTAATTTCATAACTAATCAAACTCCAAAAATTACTTCAAATGCATTGAATTTACTTTACAATGTTATTTAAAATACTCCCATATTCTAAATACATATGACCAAATATACCCTTAATAAAATGTTTTCCTGATCTCATCATATATGACATAGAACACGCCTCGATCAGTTTATCAGAAAAACATAACAACCCAACTTTCATTATAACGCATCAAGCTCAAGGAATATAAAGTTTAGCATGACAAATGAACTTTCATTAAGAAAATTAAGGACACTTTGTAATTTTCTTCAAATTTGTTACACCGAAGTCTCGCACTCTCCTCATCTTCCATAACTTTTATTAAATTATTTTCTTATTTACGACTGCAACAAATATTTAAGCAAAATAAAGTTATCCAACATGCATGAATTCTTAGATAACGTATTATCACACAATCAACGTAACATCACAACTAAGATAGCGTATTATCAGAAATGATAATCAGTGCATGATTTTACTGTATTTTTTGAGAATATTTGGGCCAATTCAGTCAAATATGCAGAATATATATGTAAACTTGGAACCCAAAACTTCTTAGCTAGGAAAAATTATTACGTGCGGTATCCGGACGCATCTGGAGGCCAATTCGGATGCGTCACGTCACCCAGTGCTCAGTGTATTGGATGAAGTGGCATGTCTGGATTGGCCTCAGGACACGTTCGAATACCGAACGGAATAATCTCTTCTTAACTGAAAGCTAAAACTCTCAACTAATAGACCAAAATAAATTGAGTGTTTTACCGTCTAAAACTGAACAAACAAAAGGTAATTACAGTACATTTATTAAAAATCATGGTGAGGGCATATTAGTCAACACACAAACGCTTTGCCAACCCATATTTTACCCTTGCCAAGAGGCTACTTATACCCCTGCGTAGCTGTCGATCCACTGCCATGCATGCACATAGTTGTGTTTGTCACACACAAATTCTGTGCAGAAAGAAAAGTTCTTGTTTTCTACCAAGTTATTACTTTGCTTCCCTCACTATTCAGAATTTTTTGTTCTAATATAAAGCTTAACTTTGTTTGATATCTGTGATTCACTGCTACAGGTTGTTGAAATTTCTGTACTCTCAAACAGTTTTTGATTTTGTCTCAGGAAACAGGAGAAAGATATAGAACAGATGGATTGGAAGGATAGTACGTAGGGAAATTATATGAGAAATTTAATAACTAAAAATCTTCGATCTATTAAGGCTTTGTGATACGTTTGGGAACTCAAATGGATCTGCCAGCTCGAAACACGCTTGCTTCTTTCGAAAGAAGAACTGAGTAAGGATATTTGGATTCAAGTTATTTGAGAAAGAGTTTTTTTTTAATATCTTGGTTTGAATTTACTGTCAGATAAATATAATTTAAGTTTTAATTGATTCTTCATGTATTATATCAATTTCAAGAAAAGTTTTCTAGTTTTTGTATTTATTTTAATTTAAATTTTATCAAAATATAAAATAAAATTTTTTTCCAATTCCAAAAAAAAAAAAAAAAGAAGATTTCCAATTTTTTTTCTAAATCTTCTCAATTAATAAAAAAATTTATGTCATGATAGTCTGATAATAACATAATTATAAAAAAATTAAATTTTAATTAATTTATCTCTCTCAAAAAAATTCAATGATTTTAATTTCATCATGATAAAAAAAATTCAAAATTTCTCTCTACTAATATAATCTTTTTGGAACTTCCAACTAATCATACAAAGCCATATAGCAATATCTTAACACGGCTTCCTAACATGAGACATTTCATTTTTTTTATACAAATATTAATTTCTTTACCTTTTTTAAGCTATATTTATAGAAACAAATTTTATCGAAATATATTTCATCATTTCTGAGAGAGCATACACTCAAGTTTTTCTTCCATGTATACGTTTTTCATTTGTGCAAATTGCAATTAACACAAAGAAATTGCTCAACAAATTGTTTTTCTTAAAAAATATATTAAAAAAAAAAACGAATTTTCATCCATTTGAGCTAGTTTTAGGCTTTGTTTGCGATGACTTTCAAATATAAAAATTTAATTTTTTTACTAAAAAGTTATTTTTTTAAGCAGTAAAAAAGTCATCCAAATTTGCTGCTTATTAAATTAAATTTTTAGTATAAAATTTAAAAATATTGTAATTGAAAGCTGCTTTAAGAACCAGTAAGAAAGCTGTCCCAAATGAAGCCTAAATCTCTAAGGGTTTTTATTTTTGGATCTAAACTTTATTTAGATCCACCACTTGATTCAACTTTTGTTTGATTAAATGCTACATTAACATTATTATCATGGTTTTGAAGCCCTTATAAAATCAATGATGCAAACATAAAATTTTTGGATCTAAACATATATATATTTCTTTGTTTAATTTATTTTACACATGAAAAAAAGAAATTTATAATTTTTAAAGCATTTTTAACTATTTATTAATTAATGTTAATTTTTAAATTACATCCAATGAAATAGGAAACACAATAAATTCAAGACTTCTCAATATTCACTTCCCTCTGAGGCTTTGAAATAAAACCACCGCATTTAATTTTCATCTATTGAATCACAAATGGCTAGCATTAATAATTTATAAGAAAATTAATTATGACCAAATAATTATTTCTTGTTATAAAAACAAACATGCTGAGCGCTATTTAAGCTCTAAAAATGGACTAATAGAATAAGAAAAATCTGAACAGAGAAATGGAAGGAACAGGATCTTCTCAACTCCTCGACAGCGAAATGCTCCAGCTTACCAGCATGACCAGCAATGCCCAGAGCCCTCTCTCTCGCTGCGAAGAAGACGAATACGACGACGCCATGACTATCGAAGACCTCCAGCGTCGAATTTGGCTCGACCAGCTACGCATCGAACGATTGAGAGAAGAAGCAGAGAAAAAGCTTCACGGCGAAGAAGAAAGCCACCGCGACGACAACAACAACAACTGCGTTGAATCAACAAACAACAATCTCAGTCCGAAGATGCAGCAATCGCGGCGAAAGAAACTATCCCGAGTACGCGACTCGCTCATCAAATACATGCTTCAACTGACCGATCAATGCAAGGCCCAAGGCTTCGTCTACGGGATCATTTCCGAAACAGGCAAGACGATCACCGGCTCGTCGGACACCCTCCGGGCTTGGTGGAAGGAGAAGGTCCGGTTCAGCCACTCCGCTCCGAAAGCGCTCGAAGACTTCGCCCGTGAGCGAGGCTTGCCGGGCTGCCGCAACGTGGCTTCCCCAGGCTCCCTCAAGGACCTCTCCGATACAATGCTTGGCTCGCTTTTGTCGGCAATGATGCCGCATTGTAACCCACCCCAGCGGAGGTTTCCGCTAGAGAAAGGGGTGCCGCCGCCGTGGTGGCCGACGGGGGAGGAAAGCTGGTGGGCTCTTAACGATATGACTAGGGGTGTACCACCGCCGCCTTATAAAAAGCCGCATGATCTGAAAAAGGCTTGGAAGGTCGGCGTGTTGCTGTCGATTGTAAAGCACATGGCGCCGGATTTGGATATGGTTAGGCGGCTTGTGAGGAAATCTAAGTGTCTTCAGGACAAGATGTCGGCGAGGGATCTGAGGATATGGATGGCGGTTTTGAAGGATGAGGAGGAGGACTACCGGCGAGGCAAGGCGGAAGCCGGTGATCCTTTCTTAGAGGAAAATAACATTAATGCTAATGAGAGGGCAGAAGAGAGTTCCGATTTCAATCCCACGAAGCCTGCTGCGAACATGTTGGATCACATGGCAGTACTTCCGGAGACAGAAGAGAGTAGCCATGCTTGGATTGACGTGCTGTTCAACAGTTTCCACCGGATAGTCAACGATGAAGCGTTGACACGGGACCTTAGAAGTGCGGTCAACGCCGGCTTCAACCAAAACTCAAGGTTTCTTCTGCAAAACCCTAACGGTGCTATTAATCCAGGAGAGGACGACGGGTTTCTGCAACAGAATGAGAGTAATCGTTCGTTTCCATTGCAGATGCAGGGATATGATGTGAGCATTGATGGAGTGAACAAGAGGAGATCAGTCGATTTGAACGCGGCTAATGTGAGCTTCGAGACGGCGCTTGGCGGGGCACCAATGGAGCTTGGGTATCTGTTAGGAATGGAGAATTGGCAGGTCAATCAGAGCAATGGTGGATTTCTGAATTGCTGAAGCAGGAAGTCATGGCTTCGGATTTAGTTGGAGTTAAAAGGGAAAGTAGCTCAAAGCAAATCTCTGAAACAATTATGTATGAATTTGTAACTACTGAAAAATAGTTGTTGAATTAGATATATTTGTTTGTTGTGTATTAAATTTGTGAGCTTATCTACATGCATGGCTGGAATATTCATTCGTATGATGCACATATATTTTATAGCTTATCTAAATGATGGCTGGAATCTTTTAGAATATCCTTTTTTTTTAATAATGCTTATAGTTTATTTATTTTTCAAATATATATATAATTAATAAGCTGAGTTTTTTGTTTTTAAAAATATGAAAAAAAAATTGTATTATGTTTGAAGACTACATAATATAACATCTCACTTAAATTTATATGTAATTAAAATTGTGCAGAGACTAAGTATCTTATTTATTTTAATGATAATATGAAATAAAATAAATATACTTAAAAGTATAAATAGGGTTGTGGTCCTCAATTCATATGGTTAAATTCTTATTTTTCGCATTCCCCATCTTGAGTGAGAAGAAATGTCTCTCGCGCTCTTTTGAAGAACACCGCTTTAAATATTGATGACCAAAAACCTCTGCTCTGCATTTCAACAGATCCAGACATGCTTCCAATATTTTATCTCGATGATTTGACATGAAACCAGGACGATGAAATTACTTTTCACATCCAAATTTTCCAACATTAAGATGATAGTAAGATATTGATTGTTGAGCTGATGAATGAGTATGGCTGTAATATTAGTCAACGGATAATTTGGAATGATGTTCGAATGTCCAAAGAAGGAGAATGTTCATGTGGCTCACAAGCTGAGGCAATGAGTAACTTTTTTTTTTTTGGTTAAAACCCACTCATGGGGCCTACGTGTTAATATTCAAAAATTCGGTTACAAGGTCCTTAGAAGGAACCTTAAGCTCACTACTGCTCGGAAGAGCTACAATTAACAAAAGAAAAATAAAACCTATGAGCCGATGGTTCCTTTTTCTACAATTACAAAAATTAGAAAGTAATAAACTAGGTCTGTGAGTGAACAGAACCCAAAAAAGGAAACTCATGATGATGACATTCAGCTCAGTCTTCTTGCAAAAAAACCAGTGACAACAGGCAAAAATAGGTAATAACCAAAATAAAATTACCTTCCAGATAGAGCATATATTATGACGATCGGTGTAGAGCTTCCTGCAAGTAGATCTCATAAAGATATTATAATAATCATAGGAGATAACATTAATAGCATCCAAAAAAATCAGATGAATCCTGTTTAACCCACTCATCCAGAGGGGCGCAGCAGCAACAGAAATAACCACAGCCCCCAAATGATAGTGACCAGCAAAAATAATCTTGTCAAAGCCCTCAATCCAATTCTTATAACCCGAGAAATCACACAAATTTAAAACATTTAAAATAGAATTCCCATTATGAGAGAGACTGCAGCAGAAAAAACCAGTACAGAAAATTCCAAAAAAACACTTAAAAACCAGAGCTAATTCCAGTACAGAAAATTCCATAAAAACACATAAATTTAATTTTTTTACTAAAAGAACAAATGGCAAAATTTTCCCCAGCGGAAAGAGGGATCACAAAGACCCGAAACAGCACCCCAAACCAGTTATCCAGAACAGAAAAATGATGCGCCGAAACACACAGCCCAACAAACTCAAAAACCTCAGAAAAAAAAACCCAGCACCAAAAATACACCCAGCACAAAGAAAAAACGAAAGAAACAAAACAAAAATGAAAGACCTACACTCCAGAGACTTGCAGCCACCAGATCTCTCCCTGACCACTGACCATCGTTGGTCTTCCACTTGTTCACTGACTATCGTCGGGTCTCCTCCCAGGCACTGCCACCATCGGATCTCTGCACGACCGTTGATCGTCAACCGTCGTCAAAACTCTGTCCGACCACCTGACTACCTCCATCATTGGATATTTACTGAACCTTCTCTTGACCGCAGCCACCATACTTCTAATATCCGATATTTCATCATGATCATTGAAAATGACCAAGTACCCATAAGAAGTTTTTGCCAATTCTCCAATCTATTGTAATTTTAATATCAAAAGTTAATAGGCATGTTGACCTTTGTACAACAACAGTTTAAGGACCGGCGAGATAAATTCAACGAAGTGTTATATTTACAAGCAATTATACCCCGTGCAATCTTACAGATTTGCGTCGGTCATAACCGCTGCTAAAATCTTCATAATAAACTGATTTTCAAAATTGTGATGGTTTTAACCGGCACAATTTTGATATGTTGTGATGGTTAGAAGCCCTAAATTTTTTGGTAATGTATGCACTTCAAAGAACTAACATTGACATGTCTCCATGCGTAGGATTCTTTCCTGCTGTTACTGAATGTTCAGAAGAATTGCTGTCTATTAACCTCCTCACTTTCATGGTGTAAAATTGGCAATCTTCCCCCTCTTTTACCAGTTTGATTACTGTGATTTTCCTTGAAAGCCTTCTATATTGAAGAGTTTATTAAGTTATATATGAGATTATTAAGATTATCTGATATCAGATATTTAAAAAATGTATTATAGTGCATGTTTGATCATCAGCAATTGTTTAAGCTTTTTGTGACAAAATATCTTTGATTGCTCACACTTCTCATCAAATGATATTAAAGTCAATGATCCAATTGCCACTGAGAATTTGTTTGGAACAATTTTTCCACAGCTTTGTTACTTAGATAGCGATCACAATTTTATTTGATCACTATTTTATTGATTTTTCATAGCTTCTCAAAAACTTTTATTACAAAAAGTTATTTTTTATAACCAAAGTAAATAAATTACTTTTCTCATACCAGGTTCACAATCAACTTTATAAAATACTATTGTTGTTGTCCCAAACAGACCATGAGTTACATAAAGGTGTTGAAAGCATTCATTTAAAGGGGAGTGATGATGAATCTGATTTTGAGAACTCTGTAATAAGAGAGATTTGTTAAGGCATGCGATAATATTAAAATTTTATCATAAAATATGTTATGATTAATCACTACCCTTCAACTTCAAATTTAATTCTAGTTTGAATATTCAATCTTATTAGTAACATGCATATTGTATGCATATATTTTGGTTTCATTTGAGACAGCGTTCTTAAAAATTCTCGGGAAGAAAGTCATTTCAAATGAAGTCAAAGGTTTCATTTGAGATGGCTTTCTTAGCGCTTTTTAAAGCAGGTTTTTATTACAAAATTAAAAAATTTTGTACAAGAAAGGTGCTTTAAAAATAGAAAAAAAGCCATTCCAAACGGAGCCTTAATTAACCGTATAAAATGCACAGTTGAGGCACACTATTATGTGTTTCACTAATTCGCAAGTAACTATCCACACTCATATTATTTCTCATAAAATTAGAGATAAAACGTGAAAAAGAACTTGATGAAGAATTAACATTTGATTTATATGTGCTTTTATGCTTGCAATATCCTAAAATTTTATTACCTCAATTTTTAGGATAAATGCCGCCTCGATCCAATGAAAGAAATAGTGTTACGATTGATGAATTTACGCTAAGACCGGTCTTGCTCTTCTTGATTGTCACAATAAATTATTAAGTGCAAAGTACAGATCTAGCTTGCATCCGAACTCTAATAAAAGACGGTCTCCTCACCAATACACACAGTATGTATAATTTTGTACACATACGTACACAATATGTGTATTAATACACATACTGTACATAACGATGTGACCCTTTTCTATTGGAATCCGGATGCCTGTCACGCCCCAAGATCTAACTTGGAAAAATGTCAATCTATTTCTCAATCAATTTACCAGAGTTATCTAAAACCTTCAATTAAACAGTCTATCAAACATCTATAAAATTTAAAACATCAATATACAAGTCGATTCATATCTTAAAAGTTCATGTACAATACTCAGGAACTACACTACAATCACAAGTACTGAAATCTATACTGAGTACAAAAGAATCAAAATCATCAAAAGACAAAAACCTGAAGATCCAGATCAATTCCTATCTTCTGCTCCCTTGCCCTGACCTGAAAATATCAACCACATATAATGAGCTTTACAAAGCCCAGCAGGTCACCTAATACCTATAACTGAAATCAAAGCATGGCTATGCTATCAATATGCATGTCAGTCAATCAAATCATATCAGTCAATGATCAATGAATTTATGCAATCTGCTC